CACCAACACCCACCCCTCACACCCACACCCACCCCCCCAACCCACACCCAACACCCACACCCACACCCACACCCACACCCACACCCCACACCCACACTCACACCCACACCCATACCCAACTTCATTAATACAATTACTGAAATAACATTTATTAATTTATGCAATTTAGAGAGATTGATAAGACACCTGCATCGACTAGTAGAAGTTCAAAAAATCATCTAGCATCAAATCAAAAGTGAGTTTGTTATTATACTTGTGATTTGTATAATTCACAAATAGTTCTTATCAATTCTGAACATCTATTCTACATTTTTGTATCGAACTAATGCATAACGTCGTTCTGAATATGCGCCGTATCGAGCATTACAGTTACATATGCTTTTCCATTAGTTTATCGTTAGAACAAAAAATTTATTTGCTTGTGAGATAGAATCTTGTTCAGTTTACTATGATTATATTAGGAGTAAGCATTATAAATTAAAAATGACATCTGTGGTTAAACAAACTGTTTGAATACACTAGAGAAACGAAAGTATGACAGTTCATATTATAATCTGACCCTAAAAGTGTGTGAGAAAAGAAACTGTATGAGACTGAAAGAGAAAATCTATCGAAGGAGCATAAGAAAACAGTTCTACTTATTAATCATATTAAAGCATTTACAATTTTTAAGTATTATTTTCAATAGAAAAATTCATGAGAAATACTTAACAAAGTATTGAAATTTAATTATTTCTATTTTTAGTTCTAATATCTTGTCTCAAACAACGTCAAATACAAAAGTACCATATATATCTCAAAGGTAACATCCTGATAATATATTTCTATATATATCTTACTTTAAATGCTTTAGTACAATTACATTGGGAACGTCGACAACAACCAATAAACATATGGATTATAACTCGAATCAGTGTAGCAACAAGTATGGATTTTTTTCTTATTTCTTCTTATCGTTTTTGATTTTTTCATATTTCAGTTTTATTATCGATCGATCGCTCATATGTTCTTCTACTAAAAATAGTGCATAAACTATGAATCGATCATCAACAAATAATAATTTTCAATGGAATGCAATAGATATAAAAACTCTATGGAATACCGGGATTTAGAAAAGAAAAACAAAGATTTGTCGAATAAAATTGATAATTTGAAAGAGGCTCTTTAAAAAGAACGGAAGGAGCGAAAAAAATGAATGAAACACATATATGTAAGTTATATTCATATGTGCCATAGATTAAATCGATCAACATAATAATCGTCATGTTTTTACGCACAGATTCTGCTATAACTTTACTAATCGTAAGAATATATTAAAGAACAATACTGTATCGTAAACTCCTATACCCTTCTAGTCTCATTATATTCAAAAGAAGATAGATGTACCATATGAATGAAAACCTAATAGAGTTTTTAATGAATATTATTGTATCATAATCTACTCGTTGAAATTTCGTTGTTGATCGTTTGTAACATTTTATCAAAGGGCAGTGTTATTAGTCATTTTTATTATTGAAGATTTTTCAAATAATAATTCATTTCACTTTTGGTTTTTTTAGTGAAACCTCGTACATCATTTTGGAACGAATTATCAATTTTCATGCAGTCTCATGGTGATTCATATCAAGGAGATGGTCGTGCTATTCATGAAATAGGACGCGAACTTGGTTTAACTGACCATATGATTCAATATGTGCAACGTGATACCGACAAGTCCGATAAAGTTGCTATGAAAATATGGAGAAATTTATGTCCAACAATTGAAGATAAAGTATTTGTGGGATCAATAAAGAGAGTTCCAACATCTACACTTGATAATATATACGGTGAATTCTTTTTAGTTTATTAACAAATAGAAAACTAAATATAGCGATTACTTTCTTTTTAATATTATTGATTTATTCGAGAAAACAATGATATTTTTAAAGACGATAAAAACTACTGATTTAACTATGAAAAAGATCTCATTCTGCTGTTTTTTTCATTTCAGCATTTGCTCGTCTGTCTCATCCAAAAAGCAGTTTAGATTATACAAAAATGCGAAACGACATAGCTGCTAATATCAGGCAAGGCAATTTATCTCATCGAACACACGGAGCTTTACTGATGAATCAAAATTATAATGGAGAAAATGATGCTGATAATGACGGAGAAAATAATTCTGATAATGATGATGACGATGAAGAAAATGAAACGAATAATCATGCGAATGATTTCCAATCACGTATACGAACAAGCGAAGTAGTTGATGATTCAAGTAACGACGAAGAAGAATAATTCTCATGTCTTTGGTATTGACAGATAAGTGCTTTATTTATTGATTTTCTTTAATGATGTTTTTTCGATCAAGCACTTATACTTTATTCATATTTAGTTTTATTTACTTTACTTAATTCTCAGTGATATTTTAATGAAAAATCAAAGACACATTTTATGTTATTCTTCTTTTGCTTTTTATTTACAATAAAGTTCTTTTCTATGACTTACAATTACAAACATCAGATTTATGTAATAATTAAAACGTAATTATTATATGTCTAAACATCAGAGATAAATAAAATGAGCCATTATTTGATTTACATAGTTTTATAAAAAAAATAGATGAAATATTATGAAACAATGTGAAAGAAAGAATGGTTTTAGATGAGTAACGAAGATGATACTGAGATACAAATGATAATGGATAAAAAATCTCGCTTTAGTCGTTATCGTACTCGAATTCAAGAAAGAAAACAGCTTGATATAATGGAGATGATGACAACTGATGATTTGAACGAAACACCGTACGTTTACTCATATTTTTTGTCTACTGTTTATACTATAACATTTACTCTTAATAGAGAAGATGAAGCATGTGTCTTTGATCAACGGATGGTTCTCGATGATAGCACAACATCAACATTGGAACATGATGAATATAATCCAGCATCAGATTCAATTTTAAAGGAAGCAACTAAACAACATGCATCGGAAAGAGATAATGATAATGACAATAATTATGAAGATGAAGTTGATGATTTGTATCGATTCTATAATGATCGTAATAATATACGAGATGGTAATGATGGAGATAAAGCTGATGATGATGAACATGATGAAGATGAATATGAAGATGAAGATGAAGATGAAAGTGAAGGTGAAGATGATGGTATTGAGGAAAGTCCGGATTTTCAACACAACTTCTATGACAATTATTTCGAAAATGAAAGATTACCTGATGTTACTGAATTGTCTGTAATGTTATTTTTTACTTGGAAAAGACATAACATAAGTAAAGCTGCTGCAAATGACATATGTCGTATTATCAACATGTTCAATATTCCAAACATGCCCAAAGATTTTCGTGCAGTAATGAGACATTTAAAAAAAATAATCCAACATTACTCGAAGGAAATCACTTTTTTATTTGTCGTTCATGCGGCCATAAAGGTGCAAATGCTTCCAAATGTAATATGACTAGATGTCAGTCATCGAATTTTCCTGTACGAACTCCAACATCAGTTGTCGTTTTTCCTTTAGCACCACAAATGTGTTCAATTCATGAACGAGAAACTCTTATCATGCCAACTTATGAATTAAATCAATGTGACGATTTATCAAACTCTCAACGTGCTCAGGAAGTAGCAAGAAAAGAAAAGCAAAATAATCCAGCAAGAAATAATGTAACTCTCACGTTGAACACTGACGGAATCCTTCTAAAACGAATATCTCGATCGTTATGGATTACATGTGCTTGTATAAATGAGTTGCCTCGAAAAAAACGTTACGATATCAACAATATCCTTATATGTTCTATATCTACTGGAGATGAAAAACCGAAGAAAGGTGAATATTCAACAATATTACAAGATATTGTGAATGAATTAAAATTTCTTGAACAAGTTGGTTTTGATGTTTTACTTCCATCAACTGTCAAAACTCATAATAGAACTTACACACATTTCCATGCTTTTACTATTGCAGCAGTGTGTGATAAACCCGCACAAGCAATCATGATGAATANAAGGTTATAATAGCTATAAATAATAAAGAAAATATTTCATATTGTTTAAATGGCTATTAGTTTATAAATAGTAATGGTTTTTATAATCATCCACACGGTTTTTAACCGCTCTCATAAGTTAAAATGACTGCGGAGCCTTTTATTCGTTATCCAAACTCCAAATACGTACAACAACTTAAAAAAACGTGGGATGTCTTAATAATCAAAGCAAAACTTGAAGTAGCTCTATAATGATTAGGTACCTACAGGAAACCATAAAGTGGGTATAGAAAATCATTAAGTAGCTATAGGAATTCATCAAGTAACTATAGGAATTCATTAAGTAGCTGTAGAATCATTCAGTAGCTGTAGAGAATCATTAAGTAACTATTGGAATTCATTAAGTAGCTGTTAACTTTTTTCAAAAGTATCTCTTTTGAGAAGCTGCGATTTGAATTCACAAACAGATTTCTATTACTACTAATATTCTTATTATTAATTATGAATAATTTCAAATATTTTTCATGAAACTTCATCATTGGGTAATCGTAAGTGGGCAAATCGAATCCGACGTCAGAGTTTCATTTCATTAATATTTTTATTTAATTTTTTTTTATTGTCATCAATACCATTTTTTATTTATTTTATTAAACATATTTTTTGTTTTTTTTTTATGTTTTTTACTTTCATTTTTAGTAATGCTTTTCTTAATCATTCATTTTTTCTTCCTATTTTTTTTTTCTTTTTATTATGCGTATTTTTTTTCATTTTGTCTTATTTTTATTATCATTTTAAATTTTTTTAACTTTAATTTTATTACTTTTGTGCGTTTTATTTTATTTTCATTATTGTTTTCATGTTTTCATTTTAGCATTTTTTTCTTTTTCTCTTTTTTTAATTTCATTTTAGATTTTTTTTATTTGTATTTTAATTTTTTTTATTTTTATCTTTATCAATATTAACAGCACCAAATTCTGACGTCGAAATCGGATCCAGAAATTTTGGCCATTTTCGATCAATTTTTTTTCGCAAAATAATAAAAATTATCAGTAATGCATAATGAAATTCTTAATAATAAAATGGAAATCCCACCCGTATTGTCCATTTTAACGACTTGAATACAATTGCGCATGACTGAGATTCTATTACCGTAACCACCCTATAGGGCGCCAGCATTTTTTCAAGTACGGCCCACAGGGCGTGCGCAATTAGGGTATTTCTAGGTTGCGGTTACATCGTATTCGAAGGCGTTGGTTAACTATTAATATTAACTACTAATTCAGTAATGCCTGTCGTCGGGGTGTGAGTGTGGGTGTGTGTGCGTGTGCGTGTGTGGGTGTGGGTGTGGGTGTGGATGTGTGGGTGTGGGTGTTACTGCTCTAATTGACAGCTACACCCACACCCACACCCACACCCTTGCCACAGTCTCCAACGGAAACATCGTCGGTCATGTCAAACAAATATCAACAGCCACTTTCATTTCTCTTTCCTGTCTCACTGCATTACGCCATCACTTTACTTCGCCCCACCGTCAGTTCGAAGATGCTGACTTTGAGCGTATTGGAAGCCAGCATGTGAGAGAGGATGGGTTGTGAGCATGAGCAGGATGGTTTGGATGTGAATATAGTTTTTCTCTTGAGAATTATGCATAACCCACATCAAACCACACCCACACCGTCGCCTGCATCCACATATCATGAGGGACCGGAGGGACTATTTTCTTCTTGAAGTTAATTTTTCTACGAGTTTAATTTACTTGCTCAGGATTCATCGATTATGAGCATTGTTTAGCACGTCTACATCCACGCCGTTACCCCCACCAACACCTTCCAAAGAAGTCATAATAGGTGTCGACGGCATCATATGCATAGGATGTGGATGGGATGACGTGTGGGACGTAGCATATCTAGTGTGTGGTGTACGCACCCTTCTGAGTGCATGCTTGTGTATGGGTTAGGGATTCGAGCATAGATCTTGTTGAGGTGCGGCTCGCGTGTAGCTTTGGCATTAGGATGTTGATACGGAATTTTAGTACGAGGTTAAGGGCGTAGAATGAAAAGTGTAGGAGCGGATTAGACATCAGACGAGGTATCTGGATGAGTGCGTGAGTGAGGCTAGTGTTTGCACATGGGCTTTGGAAGTGGGTACTAAAGAAGGATATATGAACACCCACCAGATCCCGATTACATTCCATATCCCCTATTGGGGTGAGTCTGGGGCGAGCCGTGGTTTGTCCTGTGTAGATGCGAATATGTGGGTGTGGGCTGTAGGTGTTGGCCTGGCGATTGGTGCGTGGTTCGTTAAGTCAACACCCACACACCTATCCCCACACCCGTAAGGCGCAACAAGAGAGATGAGCCACGACTCCTTTCGAAGCGCCCACATCGAGAGAGACATGGTTTGACTCCCTCCGCGGTTCCGACATTGAGAAAGATGATCTGTACGCGTTTTAGTTTACTAAACCATGTTTCATTGGTATAAAATGTAGTACTTGAGGAAAAAATTGACACTCTTCGCCACTGTTTTATTTTCAGAAACTGCTTTAATTTCCAGAAATTTATTTTAGATTTTTGGAACCCCGTTCTACCCCGGGGAGTTCATTTCTGATTTCCAGAAATGTAGTTGGCTTACGAAAAGTCACTTTCGATTTCCGGAAATCGATTAAGTGTCAGAAAAATGATGCAGTCTCCCGAAAACTTAGATAACGCATCAAAATGCTAGGATTCGCGCATTGGAGGCAATTGTTGGTCTTAATGTGAAACACTATGCACGCACACAACTACACCCAAAAATTCCCACACCCAACCACCCATCCTCGAATGTTTACACACACACGGCATTCAGATCAGTTGTAATGGAGACTGACGCTTATCGATACCAAGGCCGAGAGTAACCGTGACCTTGTTAGAGACGATCAGAGCCAAGAGGTTTGGACTGAGTACATCCCTAACTGTTGACAAATCAATGAGAGGAACCCGAAACTGACACACGTGGAGAAGTCTAGCAGTTATATTAAAGTTGCTGATCAGTATGATGTTTAAATCTGTCTCAATTGTTTTTACTGTCCGAAATGTGTTGGTACTTTGGCTATGAGATTTAAAATAATTTCGTCTCTTTTTCGAATTTTTTGAAATATTTTACTCACGAGAATAAAATAATTATAACCAAAACTTTCGCCGTTGTTTGAATAACGTGCTGTTGCGGATTTTTAGTTTTCTTGTGTCCCTGTTTGCTTTATTTTTCGAATGACTCGTCTATCTGTCTTGCAATACGCGAGCACTTTCTGTCCTGTTATTTGTTTGCTTTCATCTCCCGTTTTTTCGTTTTTTTTAATTTCTTATCGAATAAACGCTTCAATGAGAAGGACAGTACATGATAACAGTAAAATATTGAAGGATAGAGTAGAGAACGAGTGATGGCAGAAAAAAAAATTCTATATATATTTCATTTAGTATACAGTACAAAGATCGTTACTCATTCTCTGTGACTCGACTTAGTCACGACCACTTTCTCGAACAATGTTGCAATGGAAGTGTGTATGAAAAAGAATGCAGAAAAGACTTTTTTGAAGGAAAGATAAGAAACGAAAAAAACAACAGCACACATTATTACATTCATTCTGTGTCACAGTGCGTGCAACGCAAAAAAAAAGCCCACTTCATATAAAATCGGCGAAGCACAGCAGATACGCGGCTTTGCATATATGGACAAGGAGTCAATCAACAACGAGCTTAACTGCCGCATTTTCACTCAACCGTTCATCAATCCTCTGGCGCTATCGTCTTGTGATCACACCTTCTGTCGATCAGGCATTGAAAGTGTATTGAAATCCAAGGCTGTCTGTCCTAATTATTGTCACGAGCCGCTCTCATCTGGTGATCTAAACCCGTCGGGCCGCAGCCTCGTCAATTTACTCACTGAGCATTTGGTAAGAAGTAACAGCTGCAGTCAAACAAACATTCAAGGAGACTTTTTGATGACCATGTCAAGAAACCGTGTGCGAAAGTAGTCGTAGCCTGTTCAGCTGCGAATCTTAAGTGTGGGTGGATGGGGCCACGCGATCAACTCTAAAGTCATCTTGCGAATTGCATGATCGAGTCAATGACACCGATTCTTGGCCAGTTTGGGTGCGGCTGTGTATGAGGTGGGGGTGTGAATGTGTGGGATGAGAGTGTCGCCTTAACGAACCAGGCACCCGCAGCCCACCCCCAAACCTGAAGCCACACCAAAACTTGAACCCACACTGAAACCCTAACTCACACCTAGACCCAAACCCACCCCCAAAACCGAACTCACGCGGACACCCATACTCGAACCCACACCCACACCCAAACCCACACCCACACACACCCACACACACACCCACACTCACACCCACACCCACACTCACACCCACCCCAAATGATTTGCTACCCATTCAGCTTCACAACGATGACCAAGCTTTCCACCCTCAATCAAAATTCCACTGGCGACATTGTTACGTTCCTTTTTAAATGTTAAGTTTATTTCATAATATAATATAATATAATATAAGGCAGTGAGTACCTATATAGAACATAACATAGAGAGATAATAATATGTTCGAGAGAGAAAAAGGAAAGAAACAAACAACGAGAAAATAAACAACTAACCATAAGCAACTGTTGACTTCTGATACTAATTATTAAAGATGTCAGACCCTAACAGGCATGTTCAACCGATTGTGACAGATCAAAAAAAAATATTCTTGTTGCCATGAAAAAGCAAAATCACGTTTTTGTCTGTGAGCGCGATCATAAAATATTCTATCATGAGTCATTTCAAATGAGTTCTCTGGAACAGGACAAAATCTTTCTTGTCTAAGTCGTTCTGGTACATTTTTCAATCACTTTATTGAATATTGTTCTGATTTATTATGTTTCATTATCATAATTAAATTTTCTAAATCAATTAAATAAGAATCCAATTCAATATTTCTTTTTCAATTATTTCACATTCAATATCAGAAAATTCTTCCCATTCTGTTGTTTGTGTCTTATTAAATATTCTGGA